CATTTTGGGACAGAAATCGAATGTTCGTCTCAGACCTTGCGTTTTGATACAAAAAAAACATGCCGTTGCCTCCATCACGAAATGAATGTAAATTTTGATTTAAAGCTTTCGTGACTGCAGTAATTCATATTCTTAGTTCTTTCGGTAAAGTCACGTTGAAGGGAAACAACAAAGTAATAAAATTTATTATATATAAGTAATAAAATATATATAATATATTATATAAAATATAATATATATTTTATTATTTTGTTGTTTCCCTTCAACGTGACTTTACCGAAAGAACTAAGAATATGAAATGAATGTAGTTTGGTAATTTTGTCAACTTTTTAAGCTGGAGTTTCATCTTTGACGTGGCTCATGTTGCATATATGTAGGTTTAATTAATCCGAAATTATATCATATATGTATAAAAGTATACATATCTGATATATGCATGGTGCAAGAAGACAAGGTGATTTACCCTATTACAAGAAAATAAGGCGCGTCATTAAACGCGTGAGTTTTATTTGTTTGGAAATGTCAGGTAGTGGAGGGCCTTACAACATACATTTGGTAAGATCAGTTCGTGGTGTTACCGGAACATATATTATGAATCACAGATATCCGTGGCTTGTCTTGGGAGGGAGAAAAGGCGGAGCCATATATTAGTCACAGGGGGAAAGAGGTCATGCTTTTGAGTATTGACTCGAGTGTGGAGAGGTAAAGAGGGGATCTGAATTGCTAAAGAGCAGTAGGGGAGTCAGGAAAGAGGGTACGCCATCCAACAGAGCAGAACGTAATAATACATTCTATTAATACAACGCTTTTCCCAAGCATCGAACAGTAAAAAGTGTTCAAGATTATACATACTAAAAAAAAACTATAATATAAAATATGCAACACATTGTAAAAGTGCAAAGCTACAGTGCTAAAAAGTAGATGTGTTAATTAATTAAAAACAATGGCATATATATGAAGCATCAGAGCACCATACATAGCATTTAAAGGACAGAATATACAAGGTGGGAGAGTAGAGGAGGAAATTAAAGCCAGATTGTAAGACCCTTTGAAAAGATGCGTTTCTAATTGGGATTTTAAGGTGGAGATTGACTCAGCAGATCTGATCTCAGTGGGCAGTGTGTTCCATAGCCTAGGGGCAACTGAGGAGGAGGCCACCTATCAGCCATGGAGCGGATCTTGGTGGGGGGCACAACGAGTTTATGGGCGTCAGAGGATCGTAGGGCGTGGACCGGCATGTAAGAGTGAAGGAGTTAGGGGATGTAGTGAGGATCAATGCCGTGTGTAGTGCGTTGTAAGTGAGAAGGAGGACCTTGAAGTCAATCCTAGAATTTACGGAGAGCCAGCGTTGGTTGTGTAAAACAGGGGTGATGTGTTCTTCGCTGTTCGTGCGGGGTCAAGACCTTGGCTGCGGAATTTCAAATCAGTTGACGCTGTGAGAGGAGATTGGCTCGAGCACCGGCAAGTAACGAGTTTCTGTAATCAAGACGCGATGTGATGGAAGCTTCTGGGTATCGGAGAGGGACAGACATGGCCGGATGCCGGAGATGACGCGGAGGTGGAAGAATTACACTTCCCTTGTGTGGTTAACGTGGGACTGATAGGTGAGGGATGAATGGAAGACAACGCCAAGATTTCTGACAGTGGGTGAGGTTGTGATGGTGTCGTCGCCTAGGGTAAATGTTTTGGTGTTCGGAAAGGAAACCAGTTGCTGCAGCAAAAATGTTTACGAGTAAGACACGTGGACAATACGGCCAGAGTAGCAGGCAAGATAATGTTGTAGTCAGATGGTTTAGTGACTCGTGCAAATAATAATAACACTATGTAACACAATTTTTTCCTGGGTACTAAGTGTTAGTTTTTAATTGTTTATGCCTGAAAAGTACAGAAAATGCCTATTGTTCCCCACAAACTTTGCTTTGTGACCAGGACTTTATGTGAACGAAAGACACAAATGCACACCACGTTTTCTCATTGAAAATATGTTAATTTAAAAATATCACTGTTCTGGTCACAAAAGAAAAGTTTGTGGGCAATAATAGCCATTTTCTTTACTTTTGAGGCATAAGCAATTAGAAAATAACACTTACTACCCAGGAACAAAACAAAATATTTTTGTTACACAGTGTTATTAATGGAGCGGATTATTAACTTTGCTTTTGTGTCCTGGTCACAAAAGCAAAGTTTGTGGGGAATAATAATAGCCATTTTCTGTACTTTTGAGCCATAAGCCATTAGGTAATGACACTTACTACCCAGGAAAATGTGTTTTTTTGTTACACAGTGTAATGAACACAATTCATTAAGCGAAAATATTTCACTAATTAAATATAATGTTCAATCGAGAAATTGGAGGCGTGGATCCAGAGCTCAAAGTCCCTCGGACAATTGAGGGCCTGAACAGGCGATGGTCTAAATAGGTGAGATCCTGAACAGGTAAGAGCCTGAACACGTGAGAGCCTGAACCAGGTGAGATCCTCACCTGGTTCAGTGGGAGAGAGCTCCAGATGGCTGCTGGTACAGCTATGGAGAAATGCCACTCAACCAAGACAGCCCTGGTCCTGGGTACAGATGTATTTCATAGGATCTGAAGGTTAGCTATGGTCTTTGGGGTGAGAAGGGTGCGGAGGCATTGGGAGGTCTGAGGCGGGGAGACCTTGAAAAATACCTCTGTGGCACAGGATATTGAATTTGTGCTGAATCATTGCTTTCATGGTAAAGTCAGTGCAGGGATTTTAGTGTAGCCATGGAAGCCACGTGGCCGTGACTAATGCTGAGTACACCACGTGGAAGCTGCTGTAGTTTGTCGAGGTGTTTTTTTTCGTCTTCTGATGTCCGATTAAGGGTGGGCGATGCAATAATCAAGTCGAGTGCCGACAATGCTACAACGCTGAGCGTTTGCTGTGGCCCTGCTCAACATTGGGTGGGTGTGCTATGTGGCCCCGACGTGGCGATTTGCCAACACGTATTTATTGTGTTGAGCACGTGGTTATTGAGTGAGAATGTAGAGTCCAAGGCGATACCGAGGATTTTCAAAGGGAATTGAGAGACTGACGTTGGAGAACCGGCGATGAGTACTGTAGGTATATATTTTTTTATGGAACAACGCCATGGTGAGCCGCTGCCTGGTGCCGAGGAAACGAGCTACGAATTTGTCGGGGTTCAATAGGAGGTGATTTGACCAACACCAGTGCAGTAATGTTAAGGTACAATTGGCAAGACATGAGAAATGGCGTCACGTTGTTGTAATTAAAGCATTTTGAGCACACGTATTACACTCCAGCAACGAGCACACACTTTGCACCTTTTTGTAAAGGTTAATGTGTCGAAACATTAGCAAATGTATTGTTTAACAAGCCAAGCGCGTCAACGCGCTAAGCCAGATGTTTCTGTTGGTAGCTAGGGTGCCAGATTTTGATGGGGTCTATCGCAGCGTACGAACATCGCAACATTTGCATTGCTCTAATGAGACATTAAAACAAGTCGATATAATGGTACTTGAATTTACGTGGCTCCCACAATGCACTGCATTTACCATTAAGCATTTATGATAATTACTGAAATAAGTTATTTTATGATTGAGCATTAAATTGTAATGAAAACTAACACGTTTAACTACTTAATCTCGCGTTTCAGCAAGTTTATCCACACGTTTTCGGTAATGTTAATTTCGTAACATTTCCACCTTTTTCATGATATTTATTTTGGATGAATCTCATCCAAAATAAAACCCTCGTTCTGCATCGTGGCAGAATGCGTTCGTAAATGTTAATTTATTGCGCATTTCTAAATATGTGGGACAATTGTCAATTATTAATAACGGCCACGGTATTGACTAATGACAGCTGATGTCTTGCAATTTAAATCAATCGTTACATAAAGACGACACAAATCGTGACAGCAACACGCCATCCATTGGAATACTAAGACAGTTGTCGCATCACCATATATGTTGTATGTATGTATGTTGGACTTCTATTGCACCGTACGTAGCCAACCGTGCTATTCGGAGGTGCGGGTGAAGAAATCAACGGTGCGGAGGAATTCATGGTTTCTGTTTGATTAGCAATTCAATTCTCTGGACACAACAGCAAGAGAGAGAGAGAGATGTCTTTGTTTATTCCTAAAATGATAGACACAGTATGGTTTTCTCCTCGAGGCAAACCTAAGCCTGTAAAGGAAAACTAATTTTTTGTTTCCCACATAATGCACTAGCTTGATACGCGGTGGTTTGCCTACTGCAGTCCTTTATTCTTAAAAAATCTCTCCCTTTATTACTGATAATCCTACGTAATACACGAGCATAACATGACTTTGAGACCCCTCCACCGCCTACATATTCCACAAGGAGTGACTAACCCCATATCTGCATTTGTCATCAATATGCTAAATTCCTCTGTTGATATGTAAACTCCTTTGTCAAGGCGCTCTCCTCCTCCCAACCAGCTTAAAAAACGCTGCCAAGCTTAGCAGTGTTCATTAGGACGCTGTCTTTCTGACAGTTCTGTTTCTTCACCTGAGGACAGCTGCTTGCGTTGTGGCCGAAACGTCGTGAGAATTTTATAATGTTGTATTTTTATTATTTTATTATTTCCCTTCTACGTGACTTTACCGAAAGAACCAAGAATATAGAAATCTACATTCACATGCCAGTGGACTTTATGATAACTACCTTTTTACTTATATCAAAGTTGTACAAATTTTATCGACCGCAGAAGTATGATGGATTTCTGATTTCCAATTGCTTGCTTCACCCATCGTCCACATTTTAATTTTGTATCTGAATACATTTTCTATAATTATATCCCGTTTGTTTGTGTATATGCAGCAATGGGGAGCAGTAGTGGAGCGGTTAGCACGCTGCGCTATGAACCCGGCAAACCCAAGTTCGATTCCCCCTTGCGGCCAACACCAGTGACAATTATCTAAACCGGTCCTGGGTCTCCCCTAGGTGGACCCAGCATCAAATGAGTATCTGGTGCAGTGTGTAAAATCATCGCCACTCGGGAGACAAAGGCAGTGCCATGCCGTGCCGGCCTTCATAGGTGCCCGCTAACACCACTTGCCCCTACAGGTTGTTCAGGCGATACGCGGGATATGTTTAAGTGTATATGTTTGTGTATATGCAGCAACACCAGGACTACGACACTTGGCCACTGATGATCGACGCCATGCCCAACGTCCAAGCCCCCCAAGATCGGTAACAAAAGAAGATTGTAAATGTTTTGGATGTTGTGGATTTGCTCTCTAACACACTGGTGTGCTGTACTAGTAACGAATTGTTCAAGTTCTGTTTACGTGACAAACCTTACAAATTGGCTGTGTCGCATGGTGGCGGGTTTAACGACGCATTTATATTTAAGCGATCTAACCCCAAAAACATCTATGATGGATGACACTGGTCGCGAAAGCCTACGTGTTAAAATAAGGCAGTGTCGCTAAAGTCGGCATTGAAATGACAATTCTATTAAATCAATGCAGCTGTTGTATATATATTTACTCGTATGCAGGGGTGGAGCCACAGGGGGGGCTGGGGGGGGGGACTTAGCCCCCCCTGAAATTTTGGGAAAGTTGGTAATCGGTATAACCGGATATCCGGCTGCTGCAAAATGCTGCAGGCTGCCACCTTGTGTGCTGCCCTGCAGGCTGTCACCTTGTGTGCTGCCCTGCAGGCTGCTTGAGCGGCAGCCTTTAGAACTTATCGAACTTATTCGCCACATCAGCGGCTCCGACCTATTTATAAACTCCGCGTTCAAATCCAATAAAATTTGTTTTATACATTTGTGGTGCCCATTGGAAAACATTACACTGGATATCTCAGAATATTGAAGTCAGCACCCCCAAAGTCAAAATCCTGGCTCCGCCTTTGCTCGTATCTAAAGAATTTTGAGCGGCTTTTGTTTTCAATTTATTCCGGTCGTGCTGGCTCAGCGCTCTGACCTCCGGCCTATATAGCAGATATATAAAATGGGAGACTGTGATACCTGTGCAGATGAGTATGGCTCAGAGATGAATGCTAAGAACACTAGTCTAAGCATTTGGGTTGCACTGGTGGCCTTTTCGCCAAAAACGCAATATTTATCTGTTTTTCAGGCGATAAGACATTGCTTTTATTATATATACCACGTATATGGTGACAATTCAATAAATTGAGAATGTGGCAATACAAGGGGGCATGCAGTGACTGCATTGGCAGTCTGGTAAAAAAATACACACACGTACAGTGCACTTTGCCAGTGACTGGTGGTGCTGACGGGGATAGGGGGTTTAGTCTTTTAAATAGGTTCTTGGTTACGTTCTGTGATGCTCTAAGACACGTTTATCACAACAGTCGCATGCCGGGGCTTGTTTTGAGTACCTTTTGGCCCAATAACCCAATACGTTCAGCTTTTAAGCAGATAAGATATTGTATTTTGAAAAACAAATATGCCCATGATAATGGTTATTCTTTGACAAAGCGTCCCTTAACGATCGCGCCTTTCAGAGCGAAGCGATTTACATCAAATCCCACACAGTGAATATGAGGGCAATTGAATATTTTTAGAATAGAAGTGCAAATATCCCTTAAGCCACTTGGGAGTCCGTTGAGACGACAAATATCCTTTGCAAGATAAACTAGGGTTACGTGTGCAGTCTAGATAATAAAATATTTCGGACTTCAGAAAAATATTCAGACACGTTGAAATATGTAAAATGCTCTAACACATTAAATAAAAAAAAACTACAGCAACACAGAAACTTAAAGTTGTTATTGGGTGTTGGCGTGTATATTCAGTGTACGGGCATTTTTGGAGTGACCTTGCCACGAAAAAATGGATCTTAAAATGTTTTAAAGTCGAAATGATCGTTTCACACTGGCAAGTAAAGCAGCTGCTGCTTCTTCTTTTGACATCACATGTTGTAATTGCAAGTCCGTTGTCCATCACCACACTGGGCAACAGCTCCGTTTACCTTACGGAGTATAGGGGCTTTGCGGCCCCTGGCACTGCGATACAGAGTCTGTCCTACAACGCGGTGGTTTATGTTCATGATGACCACCGCCGCGTCACCGCCCAGTCGTTCTGGTGCGTCCCCCAGTTGTACGCAACGTCGCCAGCATCTCTGTGAGTTCGCAAACGTCGTCCTACAACGTGTGCCCGCAGATTCCATCTCGTCTGGATCATCTTCTTCATTTTGGGCTTGGGAACTCTGCTGCCGTGGAATTTTTTCGTTACAGCCTCAGCGGTGAGGCCCCAGCACTGGCACCCGCGCCCACACTAGTCTTGGTTGTTTCGGTAAACTCGCGTAGATTGAAACCAAAAATCAAAATTAAAAGCAAAAAAGCCACTACGTTTCGATCGCAACACGAGCGTTCTTCACCTGAAGAAGGTAAAGTCACGTAGGTAGGTGAAGAAAGCTTGCGTTGTGATCGAAACGTCGTGGGGTTTTTTTGCTTTTCATTTAGATTTTTGTTTTCAATCTACCAAGAATATGAATTCCTGCAGTCACGAAAGTTTTAAGTCTGAAACAAACTACTCTTAAATGTTAATGTGCGGCTTGCCCACAAGGAAGTCAACCACAGTGCTTCTCAACCTCTTTCATTCCACCGCACACTTCAGAGCTTGCTCCGTCTTCACATCACACCGAACCAACAATTCACCGTGGAGCCTGGATGGGCCCCCCAACTGCACACGCCCGACCGGGGGAGTTCAGAGGGCCGAAGGTGGTGGCTGACAGCTGCCTGCCACACTGCCCTGCGGCCAAAATGCAGAGGGGAGGTGGCGGGAGATGGCGGCTGTGCTCGGCCACTGAACGGTGGCGAGAGTTCGTCGGTTCTAGGTCGTGAACGGCGAGGTTCCCTTCCTTCCATGTGATTCTAAAAATACCGTGACACACCCTGGGACTTGAGTGGACCGCGGCTCACACTGGTTGTGGTGCGCCAGACTGAGCACCGCGGTGCCGTACCAGCTCCTCCGGACGCCACGTCGCTCGTCAATGAATGCAATGACCGGCATTGGGGATGCCTTCGCCCGATAGCGGATATTGACAAGGGGCTGTAAATCAGTGTCGCTTAGCCACCGAGGATAAATCAATACAAATGTGAGCGCGAATCGCTTAACGACGGCACGGTTCAGGTATTCATTGCAAAATTATTATTCCCTGCTCATCGTGTATATGGCCTAATCACCCAGAACATAGCGAAACTCGTCAGATGTCAGAAACTACGCAGGGGTTGAGGCCTGGAGAGCGAATGGATATGAGACCGCAATGCATATAACAGGTGTTATAGGCTCGGGACAGGGGCCGTGGTGAATGGATCTGGGTGGTGTAACAAAATGCACTGTTGTACTGTGCTTGTATGCTCTACACATACAACAGCCCGCCTTGACCAGCGTGGTGTAGTATACTACAAGATGGGACCATTCTTGCCAGTGTCAAAGTATAAGAATAGGCTTTACCCTTCGTGGCAATAAAACAGTTGTTAAGATGTTCAAACACCAGACAGAAACCTTTTGTAAGGAACAATGTCTTCATTAACCACACACAGTACTTGTGGTGAACGTGCAAACAAAAACACGCTCTGGTAACATATCGAGGCTGTCTCTGGTGTAGGGCAATCAGTTTCAGTAGGTGTTACAAAACACCTACAAACCCCTCATTCACCAGCGGTTTGTACATGTTCATGCGCACTCACTGGATTCACAATCACACGTAGGAGGAATAACGGAGCTTATTCAAATCACAATGTTATAATCATCAGCCATGAAAAATCTGCTGCTGGATGAAGTCCTGAAGCCACCGCCATCTCTGCATTTCCAGCATTAATCTGCATGCTTTAATTTTTTTGTAAAAAAAACAACAACCGTGTTTTGTCAGCAAAAAACATCTTTCAGAACCATATATCATAGCAGCAGGTAGCAGCAATGTTTTTTTGTGACAGTTCAAGAAACACCGGTTAATGCCCTGGGCAAAATTTCGACAAATTCTTTTGTTTGTTTCGTGGTTTGCGTCTTGCTACAAGCACGGCCTGGAGTCTTGAGCGGATGTCAGGGGCATGATGAACGACACACGGGCCATGGCATTTGTTCCTCCTCCTCCTCCTCTGCTCCCTCCCTCCCTCCCTTTCTGTCCCAGTACTTCGGGGATCGGCTGAAAAGCGTGCAGATCGAGAGCAGCATCAACGGCAGCCTCGCCAGCAACTGGAGCCTCGCCGCAAACGGCACCCAGCAAGCGAAGGAGACGCACGGCGTCCTCGCGAAACACTACGATGGAGCCATGACGCTCGTGTCCATGGTGGCCATCTTCATCTCCTCCGTCCTCACCACCCTGGTGCAATCGACGTGAGCTGATTGGCACCGCGCGGGCCCCGCGCACGTTTGTGCGCGCTTGCGGCCACGTGTCCACCTGCGGCCACGTGCCCGCCCAGTAGCTCTAGCGTGGCAGCCGTGGACACGGCCTTTTTTTTTACACGCTTTTATTTAACTCACTCTGTCTGTTACAGTTTGAGCATTTTTTTTAATAAACCGTGGTCAGCCTTCTGTATTCATTACTCCCACCTCTTCGGTGTCACCATATATTATTATTGTTGTTCTTAAATGCCTTCTAAACTTCTTCCACCGTTTTAAAGCAAGTAAATTTTTATTCGTAACATGGAAAATCCCCAATAAACTTTTTATACGTTTTCGATTAACTCACTCTGTTGTTGTTGTCGTTGTATCCTCAAATCTTGTAACTCTATTTTAACCCACTTCCCAATGTGGTATCGACTGCAAACTTGGTATACTTATGTCATACTGATGACAATACTATATTCTATAAAACAAATATTTTTAAACATTATTTTTTACATCTTATGTTTCGGCTTGGGTCTAATTGTCCACGCTCAACTCACGTTGGCTGTAAATCACCACGCCCAATTACGTTGTGGCAAGCTTCGGGCCACTTACTGGAGTCGTGGAGTTCTGCCATTACTAGTACGGTACATTTCATTAAAGCGTGTTAAAAAAAAGCATTTTTAAATATTACTTATTGTGTTTAAGTTTGTTGTCCTTGCCCCACGCACAATCTTTGATTAGCGTGGTTAGTTAGTTCAGCATACGTACACAATAGACTATACCCTACTATACACTATACTATACAGTACACACACTACGCTATACACTACATTACGATACACTACACTATTTAGACACTAGACCAAGATACTAACTTGAAAACGCATCTCTTTAGAGCTGCTTTTTCCGATTAGCGCGGTTGGCTAGGTAATGTGCGAAAGAAGTTCGACATACATCCATACTTAAAGCTGCGACAGGCAACACTTACTATGACTGTTTTTTATTCGTTTTACCAGGTAAGGCTCACTGAGCTATATAGCTCTTTTTCAAAAGCGACCTGGCCACAAATGATAGCTCAACCAAATGGTTTATCATGTGGACATTTATAGCAGTCAAATACTCTGGACGCATGTTTCTAAATGTGGAGGGAAAAATCGCAGGACCCGGAGAAAAATGCCAGCGACCACGAGGTGAGAGAGACACGCAAACTTCAAATATACAGAAGGCTTTAGGGTCGGGATCGAACCCACGACCTCCTGTATACCAGGTGAGGTAGTTAACATATTCCAGCCACCGTGATGATGATGAGAGAGAGAGCGACACGCAAACTTCAAATACACAGAAGGCTTTAGGGTCGGGATCGAACCCACGATCTCCTGCATAACAGGCGAGGGAGATAACATCTCGCCGACTGTGGCGCCCCAACAAATGTTGTGAAGGCATTTTTAGACTCGCCGATTTCAATAATGATTTACCTTGTTTTTTTTATGGTATTATACTGAATGGCGTTTCCCACATACACTCCTTCCTTCTGCTGTTTCCCTTTGCAGAGTGTCTGCCAGGGTACGCATTTTGATTGGCCTGACCGGAAACCTGGCCATGTTTGTGCTGACAGCAGTGCTGGTGTGGGTCAAGATGCTGTCCCCGGAAGATTTTTTCATCATCACCATAATAAGCGTGTTCATCATCAATGGTAGGTCCCATCGGGGAGCGCACGCCCGCATGCTCACGTGAACATGTGTGCACAAATAGGCAGCTGTAATAGTCGTTGATTTTCGTTACTCAGTTTTTTTGCAAAGCTATTTTTGAATTATTGTAGATTGCCCTCCAGACATATCCCAAGTTAATCGGCTCATGTTCATTGCTCGCTAAGTATCGCGGGATGGCAACATCCACAAGCGTTTTATGCCATTGCTGCTTATACTGGAGCGAGTCATGCCACAGAATCCCTTTTCATTCCATTCTTATAGTTTTACACGTGAACAATGGGACAGTATACTTAGTTGCAGAGGTCAGCGTAATGACAATGTTACACGCCTGGAAGGCGGAATGGTCTACAAGCATGAACCCTGGAGATACATCAATTTAGTGGAGTGGGTTTCTGTGCACAGATAATTTCGCAAATGTATCTGGGGTTACCAGCGTGCACTTCTGCTCGGAGGCCAACGCTTTAAGATTTTGTTCAGTCTCTTTTACATTTATATTGATCGATCGGTCGCTGGCAGGTTGCTGAGGAAAAAATCCGATCCAAACAGCAGTAATATAATTGGGCAGATGGTCTGCCACCCGTTCCCAGGCTACAGCGAAGCACTTTCATCTTAACCACGGCAATAATCCGGGAATCTTCCCAAAAAGTCCAACTGACTACTTAAAACCGAAAGCCAGCCTCTCCCGCGTGATGCTCAAAATATCTGCGCGGTAAAACAGAAACAATCTCGAAATTGCTTTTTTTTTTACGGAGAATTCGGTCGATAGGCGACGCTCTGGAAGGAATTTTTTTGCGGACTTGCGCGAGCTAAATTTTACAGCCTTCGAAATCGGCAGCTACAAACAATACAACAACGCGGCGTTCTCAAGACTCTAAAAGCTAAAAAAGAGCGATTGGCTGAAGTGGAAACTACAATCGAGTCAGGTGCAATAATATTTTGAGGAGCGGAACGGGAAGCGGCAAGGTGCAAGAAAAATGTTGCGTTGACGTTTTCAAACTTTACGATTGGCAAACCTGTCGCAGAGCTGCCACAACAACGTATGTGTGTACGTATGTTGAACTTCTTCCACACCGTATAAAGCCAACCGTGCTAATCGGAGGTGCGGAGGGAGGGATCGGAGGTGCGTGAGAATTAATGGTTTCTATTTTATCAGCAAGTATATCCCCGGTAGGCAACAGTAGGAGAGAGGGAGATTTTTTTTAATTCCTAACATAATGTATATGGTTTTCTCCTTGAGGCAAACCTAGTGGTACTCATGTGTATACGTAGTCAATCGTGCTTATCGGAGGTGCTAAAACAGAGGCGTGCAGCAAATAATTAAAGTATGTGTCTATGAATTTTTTGATCCGTATTAATCTACATTCGAGACATATCTCGCTGGTAAACTCCAAGATAAATGCACACGGTTTTGCCAGGGGATTTTGCTAAATAAGTTCAACGTACAGCACATGCATACGTTTGTGTGCAGCAATGATGCAGTGGTTTGTGCACTGCGCTGAACAGTGACCTTGATACAATTCCTTGCCATAGGCAACATTCGTGATGAATGGTCGCTGAGCTTGTCCTGGGCCCCGTCTAGATGGACTCAGCCTTGATTGAATACCTGGTGGTGTGTGTCGTGTACCGACATCGACACTGGGAATACCTCGGCGTCCGTTTTGTGATGCTGCCCTTTCATGTGCCCCACACGTCTGAGTAGCACGGTTGGCTACGTACGGTGCGAAAGAAGCTCAATGTACACAAATCGTACACAGGCCACGACAGCTGCTCACACGTCTCCAAATGTCTCCACAGATAATAGCGGACCCTATGTGTTTCGTGCGTGTACGTGTGCACAGTGTTTGGTGCGATATTTGAGACCAGCCTCTTCGGCCTGGTGAGTCAGTTCCCCACCAGCTACACGACGGCCCAGATGAGCGGCATGGGCATATCCGGAATGTTGACGGCCCTGGCCATGATCTTCGCTCTCCTCGGTAACAAATGTCGGAGGCACGACATCACAGTGGCATTGGGAAGGGGTCCAAGCCAAAAGTGGGATGCGTTGGCCCGGGGACGGTGGGTGGAGGGTGTGGATGGAGGATTCAACGTCAACTGTGAAACCCGCTGCTCCCTCTCTATCCTGCAGGCAGCAGCGACAACTCGGTGGCGTTCTGGTATTTCGTGACGGCCTGCGTCATGACCACGATCACCATCTTGTGCTATTTGTCGCTCTCCCGCCTGGTGGGCCCCTCGGCAGCAGCGCCGCCGCACGTGGCACCGCCGCACGTGGCACCGCCGCACGTGGCGCCGCCGCACGTGGCACCGCCGCACGTGGCACCGCCGCCGCACGTGGCACCGCCGCACGTGGCACCGCCGCACGTGGCACCGCCGCACGTGGCACCGCCGCACGTGGCACCGCCGCACGTGGCACCGCCGCCGCACGTGGCACCGCCGCACGTGGCACCGCCGCACGTGGCACCGCCGGCACACGACAAGCAACCGCGCGCCACATCGGTCCTCCACGCAGCCGTACAGATGACCGCTAGTCAGCGAGGACCCACCACGGCTAGCGTGGCACGTGGGAGGTGGAATATGAGGATCCGTGCATGCTTGCCTCCTTTGTCTCTTAACTGGTGGTGGCGGTGGTGGCGGTGGTGGCGATGTCGATCATATTTTCGATTGGGATTATACGGCAGCAGTAGTCGTCCCCCTACTGGTAGATGAACGTCGCTCGTAGTCCAGGTGCTGTCCCTTTGTGCTGGCACAGGGACAGCTGCCATCGGGGGTGCCCTTCGAATGGTTTGAGATGTTACGTGAAGCACTTTTGAGTTGCTAAGGCATTTTTAGAGCTGTGTAAATTAAAATAAGATGACATTGTCATCAATCATCAGCCTGTATTTGGACGTATTGACAGCACACCGGTGCAGCATAACACACCAGTCCTTATGAAAGAGTAAAAAATATAAATGAATCTAAGTTTGAATCAGAAAATCTGTCGCCAAGTTTGATGGAATTCGAAGGTTTATTCAGTCTATTGAGACCTTCTCAGAAAGGTCAATATTGACCGTTGATTTGGGTCTGTTGAATCCAGGAACCGTCCGACCAAGTCTAGGGCACGAGGTGTCAAATCTTGCCTTTGCAACACGGAGCAAGCCAATCGTCATCAGGCTGGGTGCTGCCATATATGGCAACAGACCGTGCAGCTTCGTGTTCAGCCGCTCGTGTAGACATTCGTCTTCCGACTGCTTCGACATCACCATAACTGGTTTTGTCCACACCACCCGCAAGATTTTCTGACCGAGTTTGTGAATAGCTGTTTCTCTCCCACCTCCTCCGTTCCGGGCATGGATGGACTCGTCCGTTTGAACGGGGCTCGTAGCTGTCCGTGGTGCTAGCGTTGAGGGGAAGAATCCACCTATTTTTTCGCCTTATAGCATTGTGATATATAACGACTTATTGTTGGTAGCTCAGCTGATTGGAGAGTATATAGAGTTTATTGATAACATTGAGGTAGTTTATATTTTAGTTTTTATTGGTTTACTATATGGTATTCATTATATAGTGTAGTGTATACCCAGTTGCTGTTAATAGCTCAGCTTATTGAAGAATATATTGAGTACATTTATTATATTGATGTAATTTAGACTTAGGTTTTTTTCACATCGGTTTACTGTATAATAGTTGGGTAGTTGCAACCCCTTTGGCGTCCATGTACTAGGTGCCTCTGTTGATGTGTAAACTTTGACTTTAACATAGCTATTTCTGTGACCAGTCACAAGCTAATCCCTCAGCTATTTCAATGCTAAATTATCCTGTTTGATATGTAAACTCCTTTGTCAAGGTGCCTCACTTCTCTCACCCAGCTTAAAATACGCTACGAATCTTAGCAGCGTTCATTGAAGCTCTGTCGTCCCGACAGTTCTGTTCCTTCACCTGAAGAAGGCTATTTGTGTTGTGGCCGAAACGTCATGAGAATTTTATTGTCTAATTTTATTTTATTATTTTATTCTCATTCTACTTGACTTTAACGAAAGAACCAAAGAAGATGAATCCTTGCGGTCACGAAAGCTTTAAATCGAAATGAAATAATTATCGCAAAAAATAATATATTTTTTGATACCGCCGCATTCCTGTCATTGCCGCGTCGATTCATGAACTCGAAGCTGCATCTAGTGTGAGCGGTCTGCCTCTGCTCCTGTGTTACATTTGTGGTATCAATTCAATTACCATCTTTTTTTCCCCAGTCAATGGCCATCATCTTAGACCGCCGTTCTTCTAGGTTCAATTAAATCAGTGCTACTCGTGGGAAGCAATAGGCGGTTGTTGCACATAAACACTTGCCTCCTACCACTCAGGGCTACCAAATGTAGATGCTTACCGACCAACAACTCTTTTGTACATCAGTTCAGTTCAGTTTATTTTGGTATAGCCCTGTGAGCCATTCGGCTCTTGAATCGGGTGCAACCACAACAAACAAAAACAACACGAACAAGAAAAACATCTTAAAGTGACTATGTGACTGTGCAAACAGAAAATCCATGAAAAAAACAGCAAAATATTCCTGAAAAAAGCACCGTACACCAACGCTGTGTGCAAAAAATCCCAGTGGGATGCAAGTCAAACAACAACCACAAAAACTTATATTAAGGCCATCAGTCTAACTCCGTACTACAACACCAATTGCTACTGCCCTTGAAACGGTTGAACACACAATGGCAGCGTTAAGACGCGTGAATGGCGGCTACCTTCTCTCTATGTTTCACTACTTGCGTTGATCGTCCAATGTCCCACTGCTCTTTTGCAGAGCTTCTCCATTTACTACTTGACGGAATGCACCAACGTCCAAATGGAGGAAAACGTCAGGAGCACCGAAGGTAGTGTCAATTCGGCTGTTCTCTGTTTGGAGAACCTCTTTTTTTCCTCTCTCAATCTGCTCAATATCTCTGGCGTGTAACATTTTCAAACTCAAACTTTATTTTATTTTATACCCACGTGACTTTACCGAAAGAACCAAAGAAGATATTTTCAAACTCTCCCGTTCAAGCCACGATGTTACAAACAGACGCATTCTGTGCGTTCTTTAGAAGAGAGATTGCTGAAATGAGTACAACGAAGAAAGCGGAGCTACTTTGAACACATTCCATCAGCCGCAGGTTGCATGGGATGTGCTTGGTGCTATGTGCATGATAGGATATGAATTTTGGGACGTGCATGATGTGATGTGAATGATGGAATGTGAATGATGGGATGTGAATGATGGGATTTGTATGATGTGATGTGAATTATGGGATGTGAATGATGGAATGTGAATGATCGGATGTGGGTGATGGAATGTGCATGATCGGATGTGAATGATTCTATGTGCTTGTAGGGGTGTGAATGACGGGCTGTTAATTATTCTATGTGCATGATGGGATGTGATGATGGGATGTGCATGATGATATACATATAATCGGATGTGAATAATGAGCTGTGTGTTGCCTTAAAAGAAAAATATACAATAGACTTATGTTTGGGCAATGACCATTCTTCATTTCACATAAAGTCACGCAATTATTTGTCTTATTTAGTACACAGAGAGACACATACGGGAACGAGGCATCATGTCCACTTATTCACCACCACGATGGTCAACAATTATTTTGTGTTCTGCCCTACTTTGGACGAATTCAAGAGGAGAGGCAGCGGTAGCCTATACAATACAATTATATAAGAATAGTTGTAATGGAAAAACTCATTGGGGAAGGCAATGAACAAGGTGGGAAGCCAGCATAAGAGGGAAGGTGGAAATAAATGCAGCAGCAGTAGGATTGGCACAATAGCAGAGGCAGGGGAGGTGCTCATTGTAGAAGCCACGAATCTCCATACGGCATCTGCTAAACCAGGGTTGGCAAACTGCGTCTCCATAGCTGCATGCGGCTCTTTAAACGCTGCATTGCGGCTCTTTAAATATTGAGGTTTTTTTTCTTCCGAATTCGAAAAATATGGCTTTTCTTGTTATTTTGGTTGCCGATCCCTGACCACAGGAGTTCAGTTTACGATGGAAGTCCAGTTTACGATGGAAGTCCAGTTTACGATGGAAGTTCAGTTTACGATGGAAGTCCAGTTTACGATGGGCAGGAGTCAGCAACTTGCTGCTCCAGAGCCACATGCTTCGTGACGTCTCGTTTTCACCACACAGTGCATTGTGGCTCTTGAAATGTTGATTTTTTTTACCGAATCTAAAAAAATGTCTCTTATTGTTACTTTGGTTGCCGGCCTCTGTGCTAAACGAATGAACTAACTTCTGAAACCCTCATCCACATCTTTGTTACATACTGCTTGGCCATTTGGTCCCACGCAGACCTTCCTGAATCCATGATGGCCAACCCTTGTGGATGGGGGCGGTGTGTGTGTGGTGACTATAACAACAACAAAACATAGCGAGTGGCTGTAACGTTTCCGCTCCGTACCGTGGTGTGCGTGCTAACCATAAACAAAAACAAGTGGCCCGTCCGTTTCGCAGTGGAAGTTAAATGTCTCGTGACGTCATTCTCAAGATTAGGTGTCGTTGGTCCAAATTTGCCTGCATCTATTTATAAAAAAGTGCCCCCAAATTTACTCAGTTGGAATCTACGTATCAATCATAGCCCCCCCCCCCACCCCGCCCTACTGCAAATACTCAGCATGACCCCGGGATAATTAAAACAAGTATAATTCAGTATAACAGGTGCTTCACCAAACATTACTTGCCCCAACAGTATGTTAAGCCTTTCTGTTGGATCTTTGTCTTTGCAGGTGAGGGCAATGGAGACTGTCAGGATGGCACCATACTCCCGAACAACAAACAAATCTTTAAAGTTCGCCAAAGCGTTATCAGAACATGTGCCATCATAAAACAGGTCTGTTGTACTCTGTGATTTAGACAAGGGTTCTAAGATATACCATCCCATGTCTACGTACATGCAATGCTATTTCAAGAGAATACCCTCTGGGCTGGTAATTGCAAGACAGACATAAATATTTTTTGGTGTACTGTTGCAGACATTACGCAATTGACTGGCACGGCAGTGTGTGTTGACCATAAAATGCCACTTCTGTGGTCAAAAGGAGGTAGAGTATGACATTGTATTGGGACCAATCATTGTATTCCTCGTGTAATATGATCTAAGTACTCTATGCACGTTTGTTGAACTTCTTTCGCGCCGTACATAGGCAACCGCGGCTAATCGGAGGTGCGGGGGCAGGACAAAAAAACCCCAAACGCACTAAAAGTAGTTATAAAGAAAGGAGTTTTCAAGCTATATTTAAGAGCGCAGAGCTCCCAGTGGTTTCCTAATATCGGAAGGAAGATCGTTACAGGCGGCGGCTGCAGAAGCGCACCTGAAAGCGTGCGATGGGGTGACCGTTTTTGTTCGATGGCCAGCCAGAAGCCGCTGAGAGGATGACCGAAGCTTTATACGTATGCGCGTACTTCGCCTCAACGAGTACCTTGTGCGATGTGTAAACATCGCCACTGGGGAGACAAAGGTGGCAAGGAATGGTGTTGGCCACCCACCTCGTCATGTAGCGTGCTGGCCTTCATAGGTGATCGCTAACAGCACTTGCCATTCTGTTAAAAAAGGCTATACGGGGGAGCTTTGTCTTTATACTCAGCGTGTAAGATTCACTCCGTGTATTGGACAATTACAGCTCCTTTGTCTTAGCCCTGCTGGATGAGGGTGTCACCTCACTGTCAGTGTGGAGTGGTGAAGGTGGTGGAGCAGAGAATAGAAGCACGGCACAACCATGTATTTTGTGGCACTGCCCACCCACTAAATATTTGCAGTCACAATTCTATACAAGAATCAATTCGTCATTTGGTGATGTACTTGCAGCACCCTGTAATCAGAAGTCATATAAAATATAAGGATATAGCCTAGCCTAGGAATCTCCAAACAAAACGGATCCCTTAAAAGACTGGCCTGTCATCTGGTTCTTCCTGCAATATATTTTTTATACTGACAATGTTTTTGCTCCCTAGTATATAACTTAAAAACTGGTGGAGCGGCCTTATCGTACTGCTATCTTGTGTAAAGTCATTTGAGCTAAAACATCCCATGGTCAACAATTGAGTACCACTTGCCTTGCGTAGGAATGTGGAATTTCCATTTCTGGCCCCGGTCCAGGGATGCGCACTGCTCCGTTGCTAAAGAGAAGGTGAAACCGTGATCGTGTTTGACTCCCTTTCCACGAGAGAGTTTTCCTCATGTGGCCTTGATTGTCAATGCGGTCTGCTCTCCTATAACGCCGCATGTCATTTCCATAACGCGAATTGGATATAACGTGATGGATGTTTTCGGGAACACATTTTATTTTTTATAATGCAATGCGAATTAGATACGACGCGATCGAGCGAATGCGACTGCGTCGCGCGAGTAGCAATAAGCGGTCGTGCAGCTGCCTCGGCGTAGCATCATCGCACAAGGCGGGATGCTGCTTTGTTCGGCTGTGTACGCATCACACATATTATCGCGGACTGGGCCTTACCCCTATATTGTGATTTATTAGAATGCTATTTTTTCCATAACGCGGTGTTCTTCAAAAATGCAACTACCGCTCTTATAGGAGAACACGACTGTTCATGTTAAATGCGTGTCCATGTGCGTGTCCCTGCGTGTCTGCAGATCTGGATGCCGGCCTTCTCAGTGTGCTGCGTGTTCTGGCTCACCTTCACCATCTTCCCAGCCATCACCGTTCGCGTCGACACCTTCACTGACGATGGCAAATGGAGTCAGTTGATCACTCGCAGATTTTTACTCCTCAATCCAAAATCAAATCCCAAAGAAATATTGGCAAATAACTCGATATGTTTGCGTGTATGTTGAACTTCTCTCGCACTGTGCGAAGCCAACCATGCTTATCGGAGGTGCGGTGTCTAAGTTTCCCTAGGCAAGGCCAAGATGGCACGTGCCCACCACATTTCATTCACCCGCTTCCCTTAACTGTGCAATGTCCTACTGTTAATTCATCTCTCATAAACGCTGCTCGACCCTTACGATGTTGTTTGTCCACCTAACTAGACACACGCACGCACACCCGCGACACCACACCTGAACACTGCATCAGTGCTACGGAGCTCTATATTAATTCCGCCATAAACAATGTTGTTGCATCATTTAGTCGCAGAAGCAGCTGAGCACGTGTCAATATCAGCACTGTCATTCTATAAGCCTGAGCCCTTTCCCTATCCTTGTTTAAAGTGACATCTTCACGTGGCTCTCAGAGCCTTTAATTTGTTTTGTTGTTGCCAGGTAACGCCCACTGAGCTATATAGTTATTTTTCAGAAGCGACCTGGCCACAAATGACAGCTCAGTGAAGTGGCTTATCACAGGGAAATGTATCGGAGACAAATACTCGAAACGCATGATGTTGATTCTAAATGTGGAAGGAAAACCCGGAGGACCTGGAGAAAAACTAGCGCGACCACAGGGACAGAGAGGGAATGTGCAAACTCCAAATTAATTTTCATGAATTTACCCGAGCACAGACAAACTTGCTAATATGGGGATTGTCAAATCCTGGTCCACGATCCAAGACAAAACTAAGTTCAGCATCAGAGCGACGCTCAACAGAGATGCCGTGCATTGGCCTCTCATGCTCACGCTTGTCCTCCCTTCCCCCTGCCCCATCACGCACACAGAGACATTCTTCCAGCCAGTGTGCGGCTTCCTCGCATTTGGCTTCAGTGACTTCGTGGGGCGCAGCCTCCCGGGCCTCTACATGTGGGTGAGTGTCAGCCCCTTTACACCGTGCCACTCTTGCACCTCTTTAACCCCGCCTCCTTCACATCTCTCTTTCTCCGCTTAAAAAAATTATATTTTTTAGACACATACCATCGGCCACACGGCATTTTGGGAGTGTATCATTTCAGCAGCATTCGGTTCAACAAAAGTCAGGTCAATTTTATTATTCGTTCGACATGTAGCGCCTTTCTGGCCCAAATCTGGCAACCCCAAAGTGCCATTACCACATTAATACTCAAACATCAAAATATACAAGGAAACTTTGGACATTTGATGTCTCTCCAAGCAGAGTAACGCTCGCTTGAACCAATCCTGTTGAGCTGCCAGATGTTTTACGGGTCCTAGTCCAATGCGAAACTCTAACGCTTTTAAATCTTGACTTAAAGCTTTCATACCTGCAGGAATTAATATTCTTTGGGTCTTTCGGTAAAGTCATGTAGATAGGTTCAAAGAAAATGACAAATAACAATAAACTACGACGTTTCGATCACAACACAAGTGATCGTCATCAGGAGGAAAAAAGAGGGGGAAAGCTGCTGAGGCAGATTGTTTTAAAGGTTTAAAATGGGTGTAGCCCAAGGGTCATAAACGAAGTGGGCGGAGCTAGTTATGTTAATGTGAGAAATTAGCATGTTAATGTTAGATCGGAGAGCGGTCTCCACGACGCAGGGCACGGAGGTGGCTATGTGAATGTGAGATTAGCATGTTAATGTGAGAAACTAGCATGTTGATGCGAGAGATTAGCATGTTAATGTGAGAGATGAGCATGTTAATGCGAGAGATTAGCATGTTAATGTGAGAGATTAGCATGTTAATGTGAGAGATGAGCATGTTAATGTGAGAGATTAGCATGTTAATGTGAGAGATTAGCATGTTAATGTGAGAGATTAGCATGTTAATGTGAGAGATTAGCATGTTAATGTAAGATCGCAGAGCAGCAACATCGAGCTCGGTGAGCGAGGTGGCTGCGTTAGTATGAGAAATTTTACCTGTTAATGTAAAATCAGAGAGTCGAAAATAACAAATAACATCGGAAGGTGGTAGGATTGAAACATCACAGCCAGTTATGACTTAAACTGGTTAATAACGTCCTTCCAACGATTGCTCAGTTTATACCCATCTTCTAGATTGAAGTTGTGTCTGTGTCTGTATATGTGGATGGCTTCATGAACAAATCTTTGCTGATAGCCAGTGGGTTTGCAAAGTGTGAGCCCACCGCATTAAAACAATAATCAGTCACGGCCGAGGTGTTGGTACTACCGTGTTTCAGATTAGCCTTATGTTCACGAACACGGTCCGAGACATGTCGCTTAGTTTTCCCAATGTAACTACTGCCGCAGACACAGCTTAGTTTGTAGAAGCCGGGGTATTGCATTTCAGGAATCACATTCTTCACAGATGGGATCAGATCACGAATTGTACGTACTGTATTAAATCGAATCTGGATCTTGTGTTTGCTCATGATTTTGGAGATCTTTTGGTGTCCCCTGATATGTATGGCAAGGTGATGGTTTTGATTGGTTCTTTCCCAACGGTTGGGGTGATAGCTTTACGGATTGTGTAGTCTGAATATTTATTCATCTTGAGAGCTTGGTGTACGTGTTTCAGTTCACTGGCTAGGTGATGATGGTCGGAAATACATCAAGCTCTATGGTGTAGAGTTTTGATAGGAGAATTCTTCTGGGAAGGATGGTGGTGGGAGTCAGGTTTTAGATATGTGTAGTGAGTCCAACTGAGTCGCAGACGTTGTCTTGGGAGCAACACTATTTATTACGTATTCTTAGCTGTTTCGGTAAAGTCACGTTGAAGGGAAACAATAAAATAATAAAATATATAAAACAATAAAAATTCTCACGACGTTTCGACCATAACACAAACTGGTTTGTTTTTTGTCTGAAATCCTGCGTCCTTTCACTGGAAAAACCACCTCTGCGGTACAAAATTCTACTGACCTGGTATCGACAATCAAGGGTATTTCCCTGTCCCCAGACGACCTGCTTGTCAGTTTTGATGTAGTTTCCTTATTCACCAAGGTTCCTGTACCTGACACCATAGCAATCATTGAAGAATTGGTTCATCAAGGACTAAACACTCAGGTACCCCCCCTGGTGAGACACTGTTTAACCAATACATACTTCACTTGGAATGGAACTTTCTACAAACAAACTGAGGGCACCCAAATGGGCTCCCCCCTATCTCCGGTTATAGCTAACATTTTCATAGAGAAATTTGAGACTGACGCCATCCAGACTGCCACTCTGCGCCCAACCTTATGGAAGAGGTACGTGGATGACACTTTTGTCATCTGGCCACATGGCCGGCCTGCTCTAGACCAATTCTTCGACCACATCAATTCCATACACCCAGCCATCAGATTTACCATGGAAGTCGAAAAAGATGGCAAGCTACCTATTTTGGATGTCCTAATTAAAAAGAGACCTGATGGTTCAATGAGCCACTCTGTCTACAGGAAAGCTACCCATACGGATGCTTATCTGAAACTGGATTCCCACCACCATCCATCACAGAAGAATTCTCTCATCAAGACTCTGTATCATAGAGCCCAATGCATATCCGACCAGGAACACATAGGCAGTGAACTCAAGCACGTACACCAAGCTCTTAAGGCTAATGGTTACTCCGACTATACAATCCGCAAAGCTATCACTCAAACCATGAAGAAGGACCCTCTTGAGGAGCCTTTCAAAACCATCACTTTACCCTACATTGCGGGGATCACAAAAAAGATCTCCAAAATCTTGAATAAACACAAGATCCAGGTCCGTTTCAACACATTACATAAAATCCGTGATCTGGTTCCGTCTGTAAAAGATGTGATTCCGGACATACAGTACCCTGGTGTCTACAAACTAAGTTGCCTCTGTGGTAGTAGTTACATTGGAGAAACCAAACGCCATGTCTCGGACCACATTCGTGAACACAAAGCAGACCTTAAACACGGTAGGACCAACACCTCGGCCATGGCAGATCATTGTTATAATTCAGTAGGCTCACATGACATTGACTTTTCCAAGACAGAGGTTCTTTGTAAGCCATCTGGCTACCATGAGAGATTCGTTCATGAGGCTATCCACATATACAAGCACAGAGACAATTTCAACCGAGAAGAGGGATTCTGGCTTAGCAATCATTGTAAAGATTTGATAAACCATTTCAGGTCTTAATTGATTGTTCACGCTTACAGTGGCTCTCAGCATACATTAATTTTTCGTCTCCCCCCTCCTCTTTTCAGAACATAGATGGACTAGTCCGTCTAAATAAACTGCCAAATCGCTGCGCATGGCGCTAACGTTGCAGCAAATAAATAAACAAATACACCGTTTGGAAATAAATAAATTTATGCAAACCGACACACCTGATGACGACCGTTTGTGTTATGGTCGAAACGTCGTGAGAATTTTTATTGTTTTATATATATATATTATTATTTTATTGTTTCCCTTCAACGTGACTTTACCGAAAGAGCTAAGAATATGAATTACTGCAGTCACAAAAGCTTTAAATCAAAAACTATTTATTACATCAAATCAACACAACGCAACGTAACCTACACTCGGGTGTTGAACGCCCATCTAACCACGCTACGGCAGAACTAGACACGGTCCCGCTATCCCGGCCCAGATCACGAGCTGGGTCCCGGACCGCGTGGCTAGAGGCTTCTTCAACCCGACGTGAATCTTCACTCACCAACACTCAAGAACCCTGAGCCCCATACGGGGCCCCCGTTATATCGGCCCGGGCTGGGGCTGGCTCCGCCTCTCACCCCGCCCACCTTCTCGATCTCTCTGGCCCTTTCCTGAAGGCTCCCGAGAGCTCTTCTATACCACGTGACCACCCAGCGGCCCCCGTTCACCGGTGGCCCCCCTCTAATATCATCCGGTCACGTGTCGGCAGGTCAACCGGCATATCATGCCCCAATGTAACCCTGGTAGGCTGACACTCTCTCTCGCACCCTCACCGGGAGCCTGCACCGCACACTGTACGTGGTGCCTCCGCGCTAACCAGCGCTCACCCAAGCCCCACTAGGGCTGGTACTACACCCAGTAACCAGGCTGCACGTGACAATATTGTCCGCCGTGGCCTCGCAAGCCCAGCACCACACAGTGACATTCACTGTCACTACATATGCATACATATGGGTGGATTTCCTGTAGACAGTGTCCCATTGAGCCACCTGGTCTCCTTTCGATTAAAGCATCCAAGAATGGTAGCTTGCTGTCCTTTTCCACCTCCATGGTGAATTTGATGGCTGGGTGTATGGAATTGATGTGGTTGAGGAATTGGTTGAGCTGGTCGGCCATGTGGCCAGATGACAAACGTGTTATCTCCGTACCTCTTCCACAAGCACGGACGTAGAGTGGATGCCTGGATGGCATCTGTACCTTCAACTTGTTTGTAGAAAGTTACATTCCAGGTGAAGTAAATGTTGGTGAGGCAGTGTCTCACCAGGGCCGGTACATCAGCATTCAGTCCTTGTTGGACCAAATTTTCAATGATTGCAATGATGTCAGGCACAGGAACTTTGGTAAACCAAGAGACTACATCGAAACTAATGAGCAAATCACCTGGAGATAGTGAGATGTCCTTAATTAATGATACCAAGTGAGCTGAGTTAAGTACAGCAGAGGTGGTCTTACCAGTGAAAGGTTGTAAGTTCTCAGACAGAAATCGGGCCAGTTTGTAGGTGGGTGAGTCAATGGTGGAGACGATAGGACAAAGGGGTGTACCCTCTTTATGGATTTTTGGTAAACCATACAATCTGTGTGGTCTAGCAGCAGAGGGTTTTAAGGAAACCCACTTGGTTGGTACAATTAGGGTAACTAAAAGTGATATGGTGAATAGGGTTGGGGTAAAGAGAGTGCGGTTAGTGCGTACCGAAATTACGGGGGTGCCTAGGGATGGAGGGAAGGATGGGCCAGGGAGAAGACGTGGGGGTCTTGAGGGAGGAGCGGAAACTAGACAGGGATGGTTCTTCTCGCTTAATGTGGAGGGGAAGTTTGTTCTAGTGCAAGGGGGGTGAGTCGGGAAAAGGAGCAGAAACGGTGATTGTGCATAAAGAGAGGGGGGGACGGTGAGGAGTCGGAGAGATTGAGAGTGGAGCGGGCGGGAGGCGACATAAAACGAGACGAGGGAAGCGAGGTAAGGTGGGGCAAGGCCATGAAGAGATTTAAATACCAGCGTAAGAAGTTTGAATAGACACCTGTAGCAGATGAGGAGCCAGTGCATTTCTATAAGAAGGTGCGGGAGCAGTGTGGTAGGTTGTAAATGAAACGTGTAGATGCATTTTGGATCTGTTGTAGTGGAATGAACGCATATGCTGGGAGATTGAGTAGGAGAGCATTACAGTAGTCTAGCTGAGGGAAGATGAGTGAGTGCATTAGAAGTTTGGTGGTGGACTGAGTGATGAGAGGACGTATTTAGTGAATGCTGATAAGGTGGAAACAACAGGTGTGGGTGATGGCAGAGAGGTCTGTTTGTAAGTTGATTTGTTCCTAAGTCAAACTTTACTCCTGTCGATTCCAAACGTGTTGTACGGAATGCACACTAAATACGGGGAATGGCTTTAAAAGTTGTATCATCTCTTATAGATGCCACTGGTTGTTCATGTTCTGTAGATGTAGATGCCACTGGTCCTTTATGTTCTGCAGATGTAGATGTCACTGGCCCTTCATGTTCAGCAGATGTAGATACCACTGGTTCTTCATGTGCTGCAGCTGTAGATGCCACCACTGCCATCTATTGCACAGCGGTTGAACTTATGGCTCTCGGTCCAAACGGGCAACTTGACATACGACTAGGTGTTTTCGTATCTCTGAACGTTCGTAAGTCGAATGTTCGTAAGTAGAAAAGTCCCTATATTTGTTAACAATCGTCCCTGTGCAGTGACTTTGTGGCCCAGTGGGTTGCTCTCGCTCGATCAGGGCAGAGCTGGAGGTCCTGAGTGTGAATCCACGTTCCAGGAAATCTATATTTTCTATCACAAATTAATATAATAGCATTGAAGTAATTCAACTGTATATATTTAAAACCTTGAGCAATATTTTACAGCGGTATTAATTTCAAAAGGCAAAACCTTGGGGGCATCCTCCTGTCGGAACGTTCACGCTCATAACCAATCCAGAGTTTACCTTCTGAAACAAATGCTGCCGGAAATCATTGGTTCGGAAGGCCCATAGGCTGTTGAACATATATCCTATTTATCTAATTATTTTAGCAATAACATTAAACGAGACTTGTATCTGATTTGTATACAATTCGCTCCATCAACTGATACATCCCAGCAGTTGTTTTTTTAATATGTTGCGCTTCTTTCACACCATACGTAGCCAACCGTGCGAATCGGAGGTACGGGAGAAGGACGCTGCCCCTGCTCTACACCAGTGTGTGTGCACGTGCGTGTCTCCTGCTCGTGCGCGTGTGGGCATTGTGTGTGCGTAGCGGTTAGCGCGCCACGCTACAAACCCGGCAACCCGAGTTTGATTCCCGCTCGCGGCAACAACACCAGTAATGATTATCTAAACTGGTCCTGGGCATCTTCTAGGTTGACTCAGCCTCAAATGAGTACCGAGTGTGGTGTGTAAACATCGCCACTGTGGAGACAAAGGCGATCGAGCGTGGTGTTGGCCACCCACCTCTCGTGTACCGTGTCGGCCTTCATAGGTGCCACTCGCTAACAGCACTTGCCCCAGCAGTCTACTAAGACTATACGGGTGGGGGATCTTTGTCTGTGTTGTGTCTCTTGTGCGTGTGTGCCCAGCCCAAGGCGGGAAGCTGGTGGCTCCCAGTGCTGGTGGTGCTGCGCCTGGTGTTCGTTCCGTTGTTCCTCCTCTGTAACGTCGCCTCCAGGCCCCTGGGCATAACCCCCTTCAGACACGACGCCGCCTTTGTGATCATCATGCTGCTGATGGGCACAAGCAACGGTTACCTTGCCACGCTGTCCATGAGCTATGGGCCCCAGTAAGTGAACGCCTTGCCGGTGAGATGTTAACTCCCTCGCCTGGTACGCAGGAGGCCGTGGGTTTGATCCCGACCCTGACGCCTGCTGTATATTTGGAGTTTGCGTGTCTCTCTCTCTCCCCGTGGTCGCGTGGATTTTTTTCTCTGGGTCCTCCGGTTTTCCCTTCCATATTTATAAATGTGCGTTTGGCGTATTTAGCTGCTATATATTTCCACATGATGATAAGCCACTACGTTGAGCTATCATATGTGGCCAGGTCGCTTCTGAAAAAGAGCTAAATATAGCGCTTTGTGGGCCTTACCTGGTAATATAAATAAAATGTTTAGAGTACTGCACTGCAATACGACTCCTGCGCACTTGCACTGGTAATTGTGCTATTGGATGTGATAACAATATTTGGCCTGATTAATGTAGAGTTTAACATGTAGTAGTAGGCTTTCGCGACCAATATTATCCATTAAAGAGATTTTTGGTTTACATCGCGTTAAAATAAATATTTCGTTAAACCTGCCACCACCCAACACAGCCAATTAGTAAGGTTTGTCACATAAACAAAACATGCCAATTCATTACTGGTACAGCACACCGGTACGTGTTGGAGAGTAAACCCAAAACTTTTACTGTCGGGTGATGGCGGTTTTAACGACACATTTATATTTACGCGATCTAACCCAAAAACCTTTATTATGGATCATGTAGCGTTTGTTTCTTGACACCGGGACTGAGGCAGCCACTGTTCACCAGGGGGAAGGGCAAGTGGGTTTGTACCGCTGTTGTCCATGCAACGTAACAATAGTTCCAGTATATACACAGCTGTGACTCATAACAACAACAGCAGCCGCCGTTCACCACTTAGTGGTAGTGACATCACCACATGACTTGTGCCTGGCGAGGCGCATTTTGAGGCCATGTGAAGCATCGAAGGCTCGCCGGCAGGAGGTGAGGGGACAGACCCAGGTCGCATGGGTTGACTGAGATGACTGGCAGATGCACCAACTGTGCCCGCTACTGTGCCAACTTGCTGCATTTTTACCACCCGGCGCTCCGAGGCGAATGCTTGTGAGCATCCCTCCTCTGCCCTCCATTGTTGTTGGAGGGCGACTGCCTCCAACTGCCCAGTAGTGTCCTTCACGAGCCTCCTCCACAAAGGCCGATCTTGACACCGCTGGTACCAGTCGTCGGCAAGTCCACTCGGCTTCACATCTTCCCGTACCGCATCAGTTCATCTCTTCTCTAGCCCATGCCGTGCCCGTTTAGCCCCCTCCATCTGGCCAAACAGAAAGTGTTCGGGCATGCGGTTGCTGGGCCTAGCCCAGTGCAATCTTGCCTGCTGGAGGAGCTCACCGATTCATCTCGCACACTTGTGTAGTGTTTCAAACTACTCACACTGACACGGAGTAACAGATCACCTGCTTACATTTTATTAATCCTACTCTCGCACCAGTTGTAGGCACACCTATGATTGCCTCTCACTGTGATCACACAATGCCGCTTCCTCCTCCTACCTGCTCTTATCTACTCCGCCCCGCACCTACTCGTCTCTATCTCGCCAATGCTCCCTGCTCTCACCTACGCTGCCTCGAACCCACTCACCCATCTGTCCTGGGCGGGGGGTTCAGCCAACACCCGCCCGGCAACGAGGTGAGGGGCAAGGTCCTGTTGATGGACCGAGCGGCAGTGGCGAGACGTCTCTTCTCTTGGTCCCGGAACAACACCTCCCTCTACTCACGATCACTCCGCCGATGATGGCAGCCTCGGCCGGTTGGTGTGCCCTGTTTTGTCCGGTTTTGTCTTGTTTTGCTTGATCACCTGTGCTGGTGAGAGAGGCCTGCTGTTCAGCATACCTGTGCTGGTGAGAGAGGCCTGCTGTTCAGCACACCCGTGCTGGTGAGAGAGGCCTGCTGTTCAGCACACCCGTGCTGGTGAGAGGCCTGCTGTTCAGCACACCCGTGCTGGTGAGAGGGGCCTGCTGTTCAGAACACCTGTGCTGGTAAGAGAGGCCTGGTGTTCAGCACACCCGTGCTGGTGAGAGAGGCCTGCTGTTCAGCACACCTGTGCTGGTGAGAGGGGCCTGCTGTTCAGCACACACGTGCTGGTGAGAGGGGCCTGCTGTTCAGCACACCTGTGCTGGTGAGAGGGGCCTGCTGTTCAGCACACCAGTGCTGGTGAGAGGGGACTGCTGTTCAGTACATCTGTGCTGGTGAGAGGGGCCTGCTGTTCAGCACACCCGTGCTGGTGAGAGGGGCCTGCTGTTCAGCACACCTGTGCTGGTGAGAGGGGCCTGATGTCAGCACACCAGTGCTGGTGAGAGAGGCTTGCTGTTCAGCACACCTGTGCTGGTGAGAGGGGCCTGCTGTTCAGCACACCCGTGCTGGTGAGAGGGGCCTGCTGTTCAGCACACCTGTGCTGGTGAGAGGGGCCTACTGTTCAGCACACCAGTGCTGGTGAGAGAGGCCTGCTGTTCAGCACACTCATGCTGGTGAGAGGGGCCTGCTGTTCAGCACACCCGTGCTGGTGAGAGAGGCCTGCTGTTCAGCACACCCGTGCTGGTGAGAGAGGCCTGCTGTTCAGCACACCCGTGCTGGTGAGAAGATGGCGCCGATGATGGTAGCCTCAGCCGGTCGGTGCGCCCTGTTTTATCTTGTTTTGTCTGTTAATTCAGTGTTTTGCCAATATTTTCGGAGTTCCCTAACAAGAGACGAACTTTTAAACATCAGGGAAACAACGCCTGTGGATTTATTTACCACTTTTCTGCTTCCAGCGGCAGAATTAGTGGGCATTCTAGTCAAAACTACGCTAGGCTTTGCTCCAGCAGCGAATCGCTGCCCAAGGGGTAAACGGTCGGGGGCTCTCGTACAGCTATGCAGACGCGGGATCCGAACAGTGCTTCCGAGCTTTTTCCTCTCCAACGTACATTCACTGTGCAACAAAATGGACAAACTTCAGCTTCTGATGGTGAAAAACAGAGACTTTCTTTCATCTTCTGTTTTGTGCTTCACGGAGACATGGCTGTGTGATTTGATTCTGGACACTGCGCTACAACTGGCAGGATTCCATCTTGTAAGATCGGATCGTGACATAGCACTCTCCTGCAAGACGAAAGGCGGTGGTATTTGTTTTTATATTAACAGTGGCTGGTGTGTAGATGTCACAGTGATTCTGCAACATTGTTCTCCGCTCCTTGAATCATTTTTTATAAACTGTAAACCATTCTACTCGCCTCGTGAGTTCGCGTCGCTGATTTTGGTCGGAGTTTACTTGCCACCGAGCCCTCAGGTTAAAGAGGCCCAACGCATGCTAGCCGACCAGATTCTGAGTGTGGAGCGAGCAAATCTAGATTCGCTGGTTATCGTACTTGGTGACTTTAACAAATTTAATCTCAGCCACGAACTCCCCAAATACATACAATTCATTAAATGCCCTACCAGAGAAGGGAACACTCTGGATCACTGCCACACTACAGTCAGTAGAGCCTACCACGCCGTCCCCCGAGCAGCACTGGGACACTCAGACCATGCCATGGTCCACCTGATTCCTGCACACAGGCAGAAACTAAAGCTCTGTAAACCTGCGGTGAAGACATCTAAACAGTGGACCAGTGAGGCTGTGGAGGATTTGCGGGCGTGCTTGGACTGTACTGACTGGGATATGTTCACGACTGCTACCAATAGTCTGGATGAACTCACAGAGGCTGTGACGTCGTACATCAGCTTCTGTGAGGACTGCTGTATCCCAACACGTACCAGGGTGAACTTTAACAACAACAAGCCCTGGTTCTCAGCAAAGCTCAGAAGGTTGAGGTTGGAGAAGGAGGAAGCGTTTAGGAGTGGGGATAGAGACAGATTCAAGGAATCAAAGAACAGATTTAGCAAGGCGGTGAGAGAGGCTAAACGACTATACTCAGAGAGACTAAAACACCAGTTCTCTGCTCTCTCTGTCTGGAGAGGGCTCAGGCAGATCACCAACTACAAGCCCAGAGCCCCCCACACCACTAACGACTCCCGCCTGGCCAACGACCTGAACGAGTTCTCTCCAGTCACCCTCAGGCACTGCGCTGACCAGCTGTCTCCGGTGTTCACCAACATCTTTAACACCTCCCTGGAGACATGCCATGTACCAGCCTGTCTCAAGTCCTCCACCATCATCCCTGTGCCCAAAAAGCTAAGGCCAACAGGACTAAATGATTATAGACCGGTCGCCCTTACCTCTGTGGTAATGAAGTCGTTTGAGCGCCTGGTTCTGGCACACCTCAAAGCCATCACAGACCCTCTCCTGGACCCCCTTCAGTTTGCCTACAGAGCCAACAGGTCTGTGGACGACGCAGTTAACATGGCCCTCCACTTCACCCTACAGCATCTGGACTCCCCAGCATCCTACGCCAGGATCCTGTTTGTGGACTTCAGCTCTGCCTTCAACACCATCATCCCTGCCCTGCTTCAGGACAAGCTCTTCCAGCTGAACGTGTCCGACTCCACCTGCAGGTCGATCACAGACTTCCTGTCTGACAGAAAGCAGTGCGTTAAGCTGGGAACACAAGTCTTTGACTCCAGGTCCATCAGCACTGGAACTCCTAAGGGCTGCGTCCTGTCCCCACTGCTCTTCTCCCTGTACACCAACAGCTGCACCTACAATCATCTGTCCGTCAAACTCTTGAAGTTTGCGGACGACACCACCCTCATTGGGCTGATCTCTGGTGGGGATGAGTATGACTATAGGTGGGAAGCTGACAACCTGGTGACCTGGTGTAGCCAGAACAACTTAGAGCTAAATGCTCTAAAGACAGTTGAGATGGTTGTGGACTTAAGAAAGAATACAGCCCCACTCACCCCCATCACCCTTTGCGACTCCCCAGTCAAAACTGTAGAGTCCTTCCGCTTCCTGGGCACTATTCTCTCCCGGGACCTCAAGTGGGAACTGAACATCAACTCCCTCATCAAGAGAGCTCAACAGAGGATGTACTTCCTACGGCAGCTGAAGAAATTAAACCTGCCAAAGACAATGATGGTGCACTTCTATACAGCAATCATTGAATCCATCCTCACCTTCTCCATAA